ACCTCACACACAGACCTTTCATAGAACTCATTTGATGGGACCTATACGCATAGTTAAGAGGCACACAGACATAAAACAGCTGGTTTTGACATTCGGTGCAAAGCCATATACTACATACGACAATAAGTACAACAATGCCTATACATGCACATACACATACACACATTGAAAAGCGACTCATACTCATGCACAAATTGAAAAACGATTCATACACATGTACATATATATGCACACATTTGGCCTTGGTACTGAGAGTGGAATGAAGGACTGAGACTTATGACTGTGGTGTTGATCTGTACATACATATGCACACATTTGGCCTTGGTACTGGGAGTGGAATGAGGGAGTGTGACTTACGACTGTGGTGTTGATCTGTACATACATATGCACACATTTGGCCTTGATACTAAGAGTGGAATGAGGGACTGTGACTTACGACTGTGGTGTTGATCTGTACGTACATATGCACACAATTGACCTTGATACTGAGAGTAGAACGAGGGACTGTGACTTACGACTGTGGTGTTGATCTGTACATACATATGTACACATTTGGCCTTGGTACTGAGAGTGGAATGAGGGAGTGTGACTTACGACTGTGGTGTTGATCTGTGTGGGCATGTGCATGCCTGCCTTAGCGCAGTGCTTGGAGATGAGTTTCCGTATGACGGGGATCTGCGAGAGGACGACAGTTCATGGTGTGTTAATATGACAAGCGAGAAAAAGAAAAGAAAAAAATAGCAGCTTATAGAGAGAAACAGACAGTTCATGATATATTTATATTACAAGCGAAAAAATAAATAAAAATGAAAACTAGCTAATAAACGCAGACAACGAACTCAGCCGAGCTATAGTACCGACTTCATTTGGATTATAAGGCGAGAAATAAAATCAGTTTGTATGTGGTTTTAGGGTTTAGGGTTTGAAGTCAGCCGAGCTAGGGTTTTAGTACCGAATTCGGGTCAACTAGTGTCGCACTTGGAGACGCGTTCCCAAATGACAGGAAAGGATGAATCAACCTTAAACCCTTGTAAATAACCAAACTATATATCGGTGCTACACGCAAACAGCTATGACTACCTACCAATAACAGGTGTACGGATTGTCCCTTACCAAGGCCTCTCATAGCACACACACACAAAAATACGACACATTTAACGACACTTACAATGATTTACGACACAAAGCCTCCCGGATGTCTATACTTACCAAGAACAGGTGTACAGTTTGTCCAATGCCAAATCCTCTCATACGGTAAGCACCCTGAGCAAAGTCACGGAATGTCATGTCTTTGCCCAAAGTCAACGCAGCCACGGCATTAGGCTTATGTGGTATATCCATACCTGTCGTATGCACCTAGAGTGGGTGTGAACGAGCATGGGGATGTATATGAGCACACGTGAGCTATGTACATGGAATATTGAGTACGAAGTAGGAATACATGTAAGTAATATATATATATATATATATATATATACGTACATACACCCACCCACCTGATCGTAGAATGCGAAGCGTTTATTCTCCTCTATACCGGAGTGATTGAGGGGTACCACCTTCATTGAGCTGCGGATGAGAATCATCTTGCGATCCATATCATCCAAGAACACCACCCCTTTACAATGAGCTAAGCCATGCATCAGCAGATACCGCGCTACCTCCAGATTAGACAAGCCCGTAACTGGCATATGGATAGCGTGAGGTGATATGAGTAGGTGCATAAGTGCATGTATTTAAATATATGGCCAGGGCCAGAGAGTGCAGGGATGGGCTTGGATAAATTGAGGGTATTCATCCATGTAGTAAAGCACAGCAGCACATACGTATATATCTCTATATACGTAGATATGTCATGGGCACGAGCACATTGTATGGGGTAGGAGTGGAGTTGTATCTGATAGCACAACCCCTTCGCAATGAGACAAGCCGTGCACCAGCCCGGACCACGCCACCTATAGATTGGACAGGCCGAAAATGGGAAAAAGGACAGAGCAAGAAAATAGAAGTATGTACCGTTACATGGGATAAGATATGTAATATCTATGACCCGGTGATAATGAGCAGGCATAAATGCACCCGCACCACTCTCACAATGTGACCTGTCTCACAATGGAGTAGGACAGCCATTCACAGATACAGTCCTATGGAGTGTAGGAGATAGGGTAGAAACACAATCACAACCTATATACAGCGCACCAATACACAGGCGTACACTCTATAAAAGGATATGTACTTGCGCCACACTGTCTGATACCCCGAGAGCATGCCCTGGTAGGTGAAGTACTATGGAATACACACACACACACACACATATATATATATGTATATATATATATAAACATATACACAGACACACATACACATACACACACACAAAACACGTACTTACACACACACACACACACACACACACACACACATATATATATACATATACATATGTGCACGTTTGCGACAGGCATAACGCCCAGACACACTTGCAACACATACTCAGTGCTCCTGTATCGATGAGTGAATTGTACGGTGGATTGGCTGCCTGTGCCACAATGTCCAATAAACCAGGAACAGACCATGACGTGTCTAGCAACTGAGCAAACACCAGATCTGGATCAGTCAGAGACGACAACATCTTTCCATCGGAACCTATAAATAGAACGAAGCAGGAAGTTAGGGTTACAGGGTTTTAGGATTTTAGAGGTTTTCTACCAATGGCCCAGATAGTGGGTACACCCATGTACGCAGTGTTTCTGTGTCATGTGCTTGTGGTTCTGAGTATCATTACACGTATGCATGTAGGAGATACGCCTCAGCCCACTACGTGGAACAAGTTGACAGTAGTTCATATGTGTATTTGTTTTATTTTTTTGGGCTTAAAAGAGGCCAAATACATTACCAATGCAATCGGCAGTTCTGCGCGCGAAGGGATCTCTGATGGGCAAATGGGTGAGATATCGGAAGTTGTTTATTCGTTTGGGTGGGACTGTCAGTTGACTTGTGGTTGCACACAAATCTCATTCATATACCTACACATTAACACACACACGAATACAATCATTCAAAAACCCACACACTAACTTGGAGGCGATGGGAGTGTAGGTAGTTATGCACACGGGTGTGCAGTGGCTTGCGAACACCATCGTATGGTTGTAGGTATATTTATGGTTGTAGGTATATTATAATATTCCCCTGTGTACACAACTCGGAAGTGTGGGTCTTGTAGGTACAAAACAATGGAAGTGGAATGCCAATACAAAGTACTTTCCATGTGAAGTATTTTTCAAATAAAGTACTTTCCTTATAAAGTACTTTTCATATAAAGTACTTTCCATATAAAGTAGTCGTCGTAAGACTGAAATCAGGTGCTTTGAGGAAGATAAGCGTTTAACGGATAGAGAAGCAACCGTCTGAAATAGACCGAACTACACAGCTGTGCTCTTAGACGCATACGTCCACAAGCAGGAACAACTACACCCATATTCATTGCTACGCCTATACATTCCCGGACGCAGACATAGACACACGTGTACAAATACACATTCATGCACACAAATGCATGTATACACTCATATATCCACGTGCACAGGTACACAAACATGCACACACATGCACACACATGCATACATATATATATATAGAATATATATATATATATATCTATATCTATATCTATATCTATATCTATATA